AGGCTACAGAGAGTAGAGGACAGAGGAGGACAGAAGAGGGGATGGAGGGATTAAAGGAGGGGGCATGTGAAGGGTAAAGACTCTGATAGGTTAAAGAGGAAATCATCTACCTCTCTGGAGAATGCGGTAGAGCAAATATGACTTCCCATGACATTTTGTACAGATATAGCCTCCTTCTGTCTACTGTATGCCTCTATCCTTTCTCTGCCCTTTCTCAGTTGAGGCAGATGAATGCTCACCAAAGAGTCTCGTCATGCTCAAGGTTTCTGCCTGTTAAAAGTTAGTTGTTGTGGCCACTCTTTGCCAAGTGTTTACTCATGATGGATTCAAGTTGTGTCTCTTTAAATAACTCAACAAAGACTTAAGTCTGGACCTGCTTTCTTTGTTTAGTGTCCTGAGAGACCTTATTCATGATTTGGCGCACTATGTTCATGAAAAAAAAAAAAAAAAAAAAAAAGATTAATTTTATTGATTGTTTTAAATATGCCCAGCAGTGGAAGTTGCTGGTCTACAGCGGCTTCAACTTTTTCATGTTTAATTGTAACCTACACAAATATTGTTTTGGATCTAAAAAACACCATTTAAAACACCAAAATCACACAATAACACAACAAACAAACTGATCAAGGCAGGGGTAGACGAACAACTCCAGAGTCCTGAGAGGTAAAAATGTTTGTCTTTGTCAAACCGAGTCTGGTGGAGGTTTCTTTTTCTTGTCACAAAAATAGCATACCCTTCTACAAAAATATCTATATTTCTACAACGATATTTTAAGTAATAGTGTCAGGCACTTTACATAGCAATCAGAGCAATTACAAACTTTACATATAAATGATCTTCAGCACAAACATGATACAAAAGGGACATTTAAAGAAATACCAGAACTTGTACATGTCATACTTCTTCCCTTAACCCCCTTTCTTTATGGCTGCACTGATAAATGTATTAATAGTAATACTAGTTTGTATTGTATCATAATTATGTTTTTCTCTATTGTGACCAACATCATAACAACACTGTACATTTGAGTATTTTTCCTCGTTAATGCAGAAGCATCAAAGCACCGTATGGGTTCTTGATTTGAACTTGTTTGCGCATGCATAATTACACTATACATATGCTGTGTGTTTGAGTGTTTTTACACACTGAAGCACACTCAGCGGACGGTCTGACCTTAACCCGACTCCCCAACGAGTCCTGGGGAACATTTCACCCCCACCCCCCCTCCCGCCAGCTGAGCGCTAATTTGTCATCTTCAGATTTGCTGCTGTCTCACAGTGCTGCAGGGCAATTAGGACCACTGTGAGACCGACAGGACCAGCCACCGCTGGCATTATAAACCAGAGACGGAACTGGTCCCTTAACGTCACATTTGTCTGAGTAATTTTACTCCAATTCCCTCAGAAATGTCCTTGTTTGGCTAATGAAAGAGGCAAGTTTTTTTTATTGCCACATAACACAGAATGGCCACAATATTTCAGTTCATGGTGATTATTAGCCATGACTACAACATTCATATTTAATGATCTTCCAGGCTTCTATAAGTCAGTCCTGTAATGTGCTCAAACATAAAAATGTCACGATGAAGTCATAAAGAAACCTTCTCAGGGAGGAGATTCAAAGCCCCTCAGGCCAGACTGAAACCCCTTCAGACATTCATTTATGCTCATTTCCATTTAGAATCTGAACAACAGGTAAAGAAGGACGTACCAACGGGCCGTGGAATATATCAGTATCCTGCCAGAACGTGTTGAGAAGATGAATCTGACGACTGAAGCCATCTTGCTATGGCCACCATAACTGGGGTGGCATCTAGAGCATCTGCTGCTGCTGCCTGCTAACCCTGACATTGGCGTGGATAGTTAGATACATGCTGATGAAGGTAGCTTAATCAAAAGGATCTTTACATTATTAAGACATCGGTTAAAACAACAGACGGTTGTGGTGTCACAATGGAGAAAAAGATACAACTTGACCTCCTGCCACATATTTATGATGAAGTGCTGATTAATATAATGCTATACTTGCTAGTTATTTTAAAAGCGGCATTAAAGAATCATAGACAAGTAGGCAAATACATTTTTAAAATCAGTATTCATTATGTATATATGTTCATTTTTTTTTCTAATGGATCTGGTCATCAATGACTGCATGCAGCTCTGACATATGCTTGCTAGCCAGTAGAAAAACATCATATACGAAATGAACGATGAAACCCTTTCTACAAATCACTCAGAGAGGTCTAAATACATTCTTGATCTTGAAGAATTCCGGTGTCCTCTGTGGTCAGGGAATCTCTCTATGTGTCATCTCTCATAGTGGGACTCTCTTAATATGTAGAATTAATAAACGCCTTTCATAGTGTAGCCTTGGTTCTCAAATGTAAATGTTAACTAGGAAGTGGCTGAATGCTAACATTAGCAGTAGCTAACAGGTTAGTTAATAGGTTTTTCTACTCATAAAATGGCCCGATGTGTCTCTGGATTTTCAGTATCCATTGTCTTTGTAAAGCATTACTCAGATTTGCAACGTTAACATGACTTGAACCTGGAGCATAACAGTAAGACACAATATTAACATTTGGGCTTTCCACCCTGAGCCTGACGTCACAGCAACATGGCCGCCGTGGGAATATGATCTATTTTCAACTGTATTATCTGTACTAATTCATGTACTTAGTCATTTACATTGACACCACATTTTACCAATTAGGACACCACTGTTCCCATAGCTACCATAGCCAATAAGTGAGTTAAAAAAAACCAGACTTTCTTCCTCTATGGCTGGCATTATACACAATACAGATGTGTCAGTTGAAAACAGCATGGTTGAAAGTCTTGTCTCTTCTGAGAAGCAGGAGCAAATGAGTTCAGCTGACTTGAGTTGGCGAAAGAGAATTCAAACCAGGAAAATATGTTCATGGTAAATTATGTACACTACATTCACTGGTAGTTAAATCTTTCGTTAATAATTTTTTCAAATTAACATCCACATTGTAAATGAATGGGGGGAGAATGACGCTGATAATTAACAGTCAGCCAGCTCTGGTTGGCACTAAGCATTCGACAGATTAATCGATCATTTGTTTGTTCGCAGTTAATAAAATTTAGTGATCCGCTAAACCACTCAGGACTCACGTTTGTACACGTTTGCTTCATGTGCAAACGTGTACATCTATCTATTAATACATTTAATATGTGGGCTACAGTGCAGATATTATGCTGCTCTCATTTTTCATTCTCTTTCCTTTCCTGAAATAATCTCCTCAGCAGTGAAACATGTTTAGTTCTTATTCTTGGCTCTGGTTAAATAAAGGTGTTAGATGGCAAGTCAGCCAGCCTGGCTCTCCTCTCTGCAGCGCCTCAGAGGAATATCAATACCTCGATTAAGTTTTCTCTCCCCGCTGGAGGATCCATAATTCATACACGCTCAGGTGGTCGTGTATTTACTATCGATCAGACAGAGGTAACAGCAGCAACATCGATAGCCCGAGGGTGTCGCCTTCACGTCTACAGAGCAGCTCCTGTCATTGATAAAGACGCAAGCTTGTTTACGAGGTGAAAGAGAGAAAAAGGAGAGGGAACAGAGGGAGAGAGAGACGCCTTGAACTCGAAAATAAGCAGTATATCTGCTTTATATTTTAATTATTACACACATGGCACATGGTACATCAATATTTTAGAAGATACAAATCAATTAAACACGCTATTATCAATAAAAGAGATCATAAGACCATGATCTAGATTTGGATGCATTTGACACGACAAATTATCACTCAAGAGCAGCCTAAGCCAATTTTTTGTCATCCCAGTGTCCTTCATTTTTTCTTTTAAACATCGTTGATATACACAGACAAATGGCAGGCTCAATATTCAGAACTTGTGATTCAAGTATTGGTTTATTTGACATTTTCATTTTGTATCTGCACACATTAAAAACCAAATGCTGCTCTCCCAGCCCACAGCAGTGTAACAGAAAATAACACGTTTATTTACTCCTATAAAATGAACTTTTAAAAAAAAAAATAATAATAAGGAAAATAAAATCCAAACTCAAGAAAGTCAAAATATCCAATAAGAAAAGTTTAGGCTCTAAACTCTACAAAAGGAGTCTCAAAATGTACAACTAAATCCCAAAGAAACATAACTTCAAGAGTATAACTGCTGCATCGTGACTCGTGATGTATTTCCAATGAAACGGGATATAACCAATCACAAGACAGAAGGCAGGACATAACGTTGGGGATGAATTTGATTGGATAGTTAGCTTCGACAAAGCGTTTTAAATTGGTTGAAGAATAAGTTAATTAGTCTGTAAATAAACATGGACGTAGTCTCAGTGACATCACCCTTTAGTCTTTGAAGCAAACGTCTGAATTATTTGCAGGGATTTCTAAAACTTGACTTTCTGTGAATACAGGAGTAGGCAAACATCTGGAGCTGAGGTGATCCTTAAGCCTCCTGTTGCCATAGCTACAATGTGCTTGCCATGTCATTCACGCACTTTAAAATGAATTACTCACAACACTATTTAGTTTGACTTAAGTAGTTATGAAATATGTTTAAATACGGCTCATAGCTATTTTTAATTCATTGTTTAACTTTATTTCAAAGAGAAGTAGTTTACCTGGATGTCGAGGTGCAGATCAGGTGGACAGGTGGCCGACACCAGATGGAAAAATGTGTTCTTCTCTGTCTCTGTGGTTCTTTGAAGCTTTTCCAGCTGGCTCTTCTTTTGTTTTCCAAGACTCCTCAAGGATCTACAGGGAACCCTGTCGCCACATAATCCCGAGAACTGCTAACGTAGACATTTTTTACTGTTGAATACGACATAAAACATGGTGTTAGAGTACAATGTTGTTTGTTTTGAAGTGGTTGACACATGTCACAGTGACGACTTTGCCTTTTGTATGACAGAATAAATCAAATCTGGATATCAGGGAACCAAAAAAAAAAAAGGCAGTCACCACTTTTATCTGCATGTTTTTCTATACTTTCCAGGGGCCACCAAAGACATGGGGAAGATGCTCGGTGGAGAGGAGGAGAAGGACCCTGACGCAGCCAAAAAGGAAGAGGAGCGACAGGAGGCTCTGAGGCAGCAGGAGGAGGAGAGGAAGGCCAAACACACCAAAATGGAGGCAGAGAGGGAGAAAGTACGGCAGACCATCAGAGACAAGGTAGAGAACTCTCCTTTGGTCAATGATATTTGGAGTAATTTGCACCAGAACGCTGCACGAGACAGTTTTTCAAAGAGAAAAGAAACCAACAAAACTGTTAGCAAGCTGAGCAGACAAAAATATGTGTTGTTTACAATTTGGAGTTTAAGTTGATTATTCTTTTAGTAACTGTAAAGAGCTCCTCAACCAGAGAGAGCGAGAGAACTCATATAGTCAAGGAAGAGTGGCCGAGCTTGCCATTACGCACACACAAAACACTATCATCTGTCCTAATTAGGGCTGTCAGCATTAATGCGTTAATCATGATGTGATTATGGTCCGAAATGAATGCATTCATTATTTTAAATCGCACTAATCGTGTGGCATTTTGTCCCTTTCGAAGCACCGTAGTTAATCCACTGTTGTTTTCCTTTGGCTTTTTGTTTAATAAATGTAGTTTTCTTTGTATCTGCAATTGGTTCCACCTCCTTTGCTTCTTCCTGCAGCCTCCCTATGACTGATTTCCAGTTCACAATTGGACAGTTTTCTTGTTATTTCTAATTTGCTGTAACGTTTGTCCCATCACATCACCTACTGTCCACTTTCTGTTTCAGTATGGGCTGAAGAAGAAGGAGGAGAAGGAGGCAGAGGAGAAAGCAGCCATGGAGCAGGCCTGTGAGGGGTCACTGACGCGCCCGAAGAAGGCGATCCCACGGGGCTGTGGAGACGACGAAGAAGAAGACGAGGAGAGCATCCTCGACACTGTCCTTAAGTTTCTGCCTGGACCTCTACAGGACATGTTCAAGAAGTAAAGAAAAAAAAAACGACAACATAGAAATCAAAAGAACCCTAAAAATCAGGGTCCAGTCCGGTCTGGGCTGGGCTGCAGGGAATTGGAAGCAGGGATCTTTGTGTGGGACTTTGGGTGGACAGGGTTGAGTGAAGGTTTGGGGAAAAGCGACAACAAGGGTCAATTTGGGTTAAGAGACCGGTAGGATTTTAGAAGTTGTAGGAAGAAAAAAAATTGGGAGGGGGGTTGGGGTTCTTGCCAAACTGTTAGAGGCTGCACACTGCCTTTCTAGAAATCGTTTACTTTGTTCTTTTCTACTCCTCGACGACTCTTCCCTTTTTAATTATTTACCACAGTTGCTGTACAACCTTCAACTGCCACTTAGCACATTTCTACAATAAGTACATTTGATGCCCTAGTTGTTATTTTTACACAGACATTTTGATTGGTTGGCCATCATCTGGCGATGGTGACCAATAGAGACCAGTATTCCCTTAAAGAATGGCCCTTTCTTCTGTGGTCATGTTTTCCAGTAGATGGAGCATGTTGTGTTTACTTCAATGGGTGTTTTCTACTTTTATGAACCTGGTTTAAGTCTTTATATTGTAAAAAGAATAAATGAATCAACGTTTGAGTTTTTAGGACATGTGCCTTCATATCATCTCCTCCAGCAGAGGAATTGTCAATGAGGGTTTCATTCAAACAAGTGAACAAATGTTGGTATTGTGTAGGATACAACATTGCACACTTTTGGAATAATGTGTTTGATCTAAAGTTGGATTGTTGGGATATTTGGGGATTTCCAGAAGCAAGTGCTCAAACCAGAAACTTCTGGAAATCCAAGACAGCCAGAGAGGCCATAAAACTATTAAGAAACAAAAAAAACCTTACAAAGCGTTGCGTTTCCGAAGAACTGTTTGCTGATGCAAAAAAAAAGTTTTAATTTCCCTTCTACTTCGAAATCTAATTTTACAAAAGCTATCCTTGTGAAACCAGTCAGCTAGCGAGACCGCCATCATGCAAGAAATGTAAAATTTAAGTTATTGGATGTGTCAAAAACTCAAGTTGTTATCCATCCAATCAGCCAAGGCTCATCTTACCTGCTTTAAATCTACAATATGTCCAGAATTACACAAAGCTCACACCAAACCATTGTGATTTAAGTTTAGTGTGGTCCTCATAGACAATCAAAGCATTAACACACAGAAACAGTGGGGTTAGCCGGTACTTTATATGTTGTCACCTCCTGTCTCATCATCTAAAACGTTGGTTCTTTCTCTCACATTTATTTAACTGGTTGCCATCAAGTAACTCTTTTTTTTAAAACACTTATTCACATTTTTATTCTCCATATTTGTATACATAAATGCAAATACCAGGCAATTTATTTTGTACATATTTTTTTACTTTCTGTGAATGTGCTGCCAACTTATTCCAATGCTACTGCAAATGTGCAACCCTTCATCTTTTCACATGTTCGTTTAACTTGATCAATTTCATCAACATTAAGACCAAAGAAATACTGGTGAGACCTTACTATTTCTTTTGTCAACGCCAATATAGAAGACCTGCATGCTGGGGGGTTTATGGTTCTTGCGAGGTCTGCTGGAAAAAACACAACAGCCTGTTCAGTAAGTGCATGCATCCCAAAGACCACCGCGAAGCTATGAAGACGATCCTATTTCCTTAAAAGTATTCTCTGGCTCAATAAACCTAGAACACTGTAGACGGAGCCTTAGAAAACCTGTGTGTGAGTTGTTGCACTTCACTGCCTGAAGAGCTCATTCAGAGAGCTGCATCTCTTAATCCAACGCAAAGTCAAGACTGTTCTCACTCTGTACTCTGAGGATATGGCAGCATGGCCAGTTGCCCCGACACTTCAAAATAGGAGTTAAACGGTGGACACATTATGAGATAATCAGGACGATTTTGGGCCTGATTCCCCAACTTCCAACAAAATAAAGTGAAGTCTAGATTTTGCCTTCTGTCAGGTCCACCTGTCAGTCAACTCGTAAGTATGCAAAAATGTATGAATAACTCCTAGGCTTAATAAAATCAAATCAGATGCATCATAACCCCCCTCCTGTAAAGTGTGTACCAGTAAGGATGCAGGTGGAGACTTAACATAGGACTTAATGGGAATTCCTTTGCTTTTGCATTCAGCCCCAAGTGGACACTAATGGAACTGCACTTTGTTGCACTTCCGCCATTGGCTTCTATTTTCAACCAATTTGGGGTCCTCTGACCAACCTGCCATATTTGATGAGTTGAGAGTGAGAACTTGCTGAAGAAATCATAGTGATTTTTGATCGCGTTTAAGTAGTTGTACTGTTAATGAAAACCACGTCTCTTTAGTGATACTACCTTCATAAATGGATATTTCAAGATAAAACAAAGCATGTTGGTGATATCTATCGATAATGATCGGGTGGCTTTTCAGTTATGCAGCAATGTACGATTACAACATTGTTCCGTGAGTTTGTTACTTAAAATATCTTTAAGGATTTATTATGACTTATGAGGAAGTTGTGAAAAATATGTTTCTTTTTTCTTTTCTTTTTTAGCTCAGATAGGACTTTTCACTAGACAAAGCCATATCGTTTAGATTGCAATAATTACTTAAAGTTATGAAAAATGTCAACAGTGAAAGTTAAGTGTCTTTTATTTTTTCTGTGTTTAAAAACTGAACATCTGTTTGTAAATCCTCACCATTCTTATATCTTGAAATATGTATACTAATGTTTACACAAGGGAAACGTCTGTAGAAAAGAAGCCATTGTTATATCTGTCTCAGTGTTTTACATGTGTACGGTAAGTGTGTGTGTGTTTATATGTGTGTGTGTCTTTCTATGTGTCTGTGCTCTTAGACCATGTTATTGACTCATATAGTCCTGGTTTATGCTACGTAAATGTGTCTTTGATCTATTTTGTGCACAGGCAGACACTGGGGCAGCTCCCTAATTGTGCCACGTCTAAAAAAAAAACGTAAAAAAAAAGAAATACTTAACACATTCCTTTCAAATGTTGAGCATGCAAATGTTTGGTAGAAAAGAGAGAGTACACTAAATGTCAAAAAGCCAAAAAAAAAAAAGATGATTTCCTGTTTCTGTGGGAGTCTCCAGGCAACAGAATTTGTGCGTTGGATCCAGATATATCAGCTTAGTGATTGGCTTGTTGAGTGTTCAATGTTCTTTGTTGTCTGAGGTTTGGTGAAGCTTAAGGCCATGATCACTGAGGAGCTTTAATATTCTGTCCACATGACTAACCAAAGTCAAGCTGTGGTTAATTATGTTTTCAGTTGTAGGAGCGAAATGTAAAAAATCTCCCAAAAACCTGCGTTTTATGGGAAAAAAATGGAACTCATTTTTGAAGCGGGTTATGAAACAGTCTGAAATTATAATTAATGCCTCTACATGTCTCACAAATGAGACCATCAGCAACAGGGTTGACTATTTCTATATTGTTATTTCCAGATATTGCTGCCCGGGGGGGTTTGGTGTCAGATGATGCGATTATCAACAAGCTGTCAAATCAGCTTTCTTTAAAAGCCAAAGATTCATTTTGAGTCACATGCTGGACATTTAAAATAGAGAAGGATGATTTTATGTTAGAAAACATCATTGTTACATAGACAGGACAAGACCAGCAAATAAATAAATCAACTAGTATGTCCACAGGCCAAAATCAATCAAACCCAAAAGCTCCTCATTGGAGAGACCGAATCATGTTTCACAGCCAAAGTTCTAAATCGAGTCAATTGTTCCTCCCATTCATAAAACTTTATGCATGGCAAACATTTATAAATACTGCAAACCACAAGTTAGAATCAGTTGGATTGGTTCAGTTTGGACCACTCTGCCTGTCAATGAGAGTCAAAGACCTCCATCAACATCTACTCCTGCTCTGTTAAATACCAACATACTGCTAAACATCGCATGTATCCTGATGCCCTGACATACAATGACTAGCTCGTGCCTATTTACCAAGTAGCAGTGCTTTTTAACGCAATGGAAATTTGAAATTTAAAAAAAAGACAGTCAATGTTGTAAAATGATTGCTACCTTCTGGTTTAAAATAATTTGCTGGACTAAGTGATCTGAACCATAATTTTCTTGCGTCAAACGGTCTATCAGTCAATCTTACTTGTAAAGCGCCATTTCTTTACAAATGTTATCTCAAGACACTTTACAAAAAGAGCAGGTCTATACTGTACTTTGTCATTATTTATAGAGAACCAACCTTAATCCATCATGAGGAAAGCACTTGGTAACATTCAGCTAAGTCACAGTGTCAGGTAAAAAAACATCTTTTAACCTCGAGCTGAACCAGACTCATGTTGAACAGCCATCTGCTGGGACTGGTGTAAGCTTCCACCTCTGTGATCATGGCCTTAAGACAAGAACTCTGACATTAATGAAAGGCTTTTTAAAAGGAAATAGGGGACGTGCAATTTAGGAAAGGACAGATACTTCGACTAAAATAGTTCCTGTTTTGATATCTTGTTGTAATACTTCATGTCAAGTCAAAACTCACCATGCACAGTACCGTGTCTCTAAATAAGACCAACCATTAGACATTTTTATAGTTACTTTGCTCATCCTCATTAACAAAAAAACACCCATGATGTAATGCATGAGATTCAAGTAGTGCTAAACTTCAGATCTTTTTAAAAAAGTGTGCGAGAATCCCTTTTATTTATTTAAACTACATTAACACAAGGGTTATTAGAATTCCTGCTACCCCCAATAGGCCAGGCCAGTTCCACATGTATCTGTTTCCCTCCATGGAAACTACAGCCATACATCCTCTGTATGTAAACTAGTCTCTCACTGGGACTCATCTCAAGGCGTCACTGCATGTGAACTGCCTTTGAAAAGGGCTATTACCACGTCATCAGTGTGTGAGGTCAGTGCTAACTCATCTCTCCGGTCTGTGCTTGTCTTAATGTAATATGTGGTTGCATGAGATACTTCAGTGTTTGTGGAGCCGTGGCTTTCATTGTAGATAAATCTTGGGGTTGATAGATGATAGTATAAATCGGAGGTTTTTACCAAAAAAATGATAATTTTACATTGAGTATACAAACTGTATATTTTCCTAAAATAAATATAAGCGGCTGAATGAGATCATTAAAAGTTTAGACGAAGACATGAAGGCCTCAAAGACATTTAACAACAACGTCAAAATCCTGGCTAGTGCATCTTACAAATGGGGAAACCCAAGCTGAAAAAACTGAATTATCAAAGCATCTTCTGTTGTCAGGAACTCAAGGTATTGAGAAACAGGCTTGGCTTGCAACTGCCTTTCAAAAACCACAGTTTACAAAGCAAATGTTCTCCATTTAGATATGTGATGTTCCCCATGAATATTACAACACTAAAGGATTACTACGGGAGGTGTGCAAAAATAAATGTTGTACATGTTTACTGCATAGATCTATCTTTAATGAAATATCTATAGAAAGAACATGTTTAGAGTCGTCCGACTCCAAACAAAGCTTGACTTATTTTCTCTGAACACTGTAACAATGTCCTGAGATTTCACTTCTTTTTCGACATCTTTATATAAACAATGGGATATTATTGTCACTGCCCAGCTGACTCCTGCCAGTAAACACAGAAGTGGAAGTAAACGTGTTTCACTTTGGGATTATTTCACCCAAGACTGAAGGTTTAGAAGCTCGTCTCTTGCCACATTTTCTTTCCCTTCTGTGGAAGTCAAGGTTTTCGCAGAGCTCTCATTTGCTGAGCTCATTGGCGGCACTGTTACTGTGAAAAGAAACTCTCTGAATACATTCCAGTCTCTTTGCACTAGAAAACGTCCAAATATTACACTAACAATAGTTATGACATCTTAAGACTCACCTTTATCCACTACCTTTTTTTTTTCTTTGATACACCAACCCTCTAAAAGTTGAAAGCTAAGAGAGATAAAAGGTTTACCGATTGACTTTAAGTTGGTCATTTGTTCACAAGTTGGGGATGTTCATTAGTTTGCAGATGATGTGATTCTCTTTATTTCACTGAATTATCTCTCATCGCTGTCTCTGGTAAACAATGGACACACCAAAACGTGTTTTTTTAAATGAATTTCTGAATCAAGAGGGTCTGTCTTTTTTTAATTCAGGGTGAAAATCATTTCAGGGTGCATAGGTTAAGAATGTAAAATATGAATTCTTATGCTATTCTTTCCTTACTTGCATGTCATATACTCTATGTGGAGCCCAATCACTGTAAAACTGTGTCATCGATAAAACCGAAATCATTCTTTTTGGAAACTAAATGCATTACACTAATAAAAAAATAGGTTTATAAAAAGTTACTTGTGTCTGTATTCAGTTTTTGTCCTTCCTTTACTTCAGTGTTTTTTTTTCAACACCAGAATTGTGACATGACTTGAAAAACAATAGGAAAAAATAAAAAAGTGCAACAAAGTGATTTGGGGAAAACGGGATAACAACACAGCTTTAAATTTGAAAGTGGCTTGTTTTGGGGGCACATTTGATATATTAAGAAGATACTACATTTGCATAGTGTTAGAAAAACATAAACCTTGCTATAGTGTCACAAAAATACTTATTTTTGGTTTTTAAGTTTTGGCTTAGAGAGGACAGTGGATACACTTGGAAATTGGGGAGCAAGAAATTGGTGAACGACATGCAGGTAAAGGACCACTGCAGGTCATACTTGAACCCAGTCCATCCACTCTGAGGACTACAGCCTCTGTACAGGGGGCGCATGAAGTAACTGCTAGGCCCCTCAAAAATTCTTGATTAAGTTTTAGAAAAGACTGTTGTTTGGGCTAAATTGATGCTAAATGGTGCTTCTGCTCTTTTTAAATGGCATGCAAAATGAATGTATTTTCTATTGCTTCACACAGTCACTCCATCAACAAGAAGCCACAATAAGCAACACGTCTGCTAAGTGAAGTTAATATTGACTTAATTCCCCTCAGGGACTGTCAGCTTATTTGTACTCAGAGCATGCTGTTTATTAGCTTCAGTAGAACATGTCGCTATGCTTGAAGGGTCAACCAAACTTGATTACACACACAAAGTATGTAACATCCTGTGCCTGTTCTAGCTCTCTGATTGGCAACACTAACAAGGCTAGTTTTACCCTGCACTCACGTGGTGTTGGACAACTCGGAAAAACGAGTTTCCCAGTTAAAAAATGCCCGTGAACGCCTGCTCAACTCGGAAAAAAAACAACTCAGAAACTGTCCGACCATTCGAGGAGCACATGAATGCAGCATAATAGTAGGAGGCCGACTCTAAGAATTGTTTTCTTTATTTTAAATGTATTTTCTGTATCGTGAAGCAACCTGCAAGCTTTGCGGAAGTGCCAGCAGGTTATCAAAATCATGAGCACATTTCGCAGAGGTAATGTTTTTCTAAGGAACTATTAAAGTTTTATAAGTTGAAAGGGGTTTTACATTTCCATACCTTCAAAATATATACTCACACGGGGCTGTTCAACATTCAACTTTTCCACTACCATCCAAATCAACATTAACACAAAAAAATAAATAAATACAGAACTTATAATTCAAATATTTACTATATACTATTATAGTGAATATCAAAGTCTTATTTAGCTGTCAGACGTCTTGTCCTGTTTTCATCATACATTTTTTACATTATTTGTTGATTTCTGTATTTAAATTTAAAGTAGATTTTCTGATTTGTCATCATCTCTGCAGCACCAGAAAAAGAAAACAAATGGGTTGTTTGATTTGAATGAACACCTTTTAAAATAAATGACAGTGTTTTAAAGGAGGACACTGTCGTATACTGTTACCTATACAACAGTTTGTTGAAGCACATGGCAAGAAAAGTAGCAGGCCATCCCCTCAGTGACTGATTTTTTAATTACACAAATCTCTTCTTTAATTAGTTTGCTGTGTGTGGCAGGGTATTAATAAAGCTCCTCGTGAATAATTAATCTGGAAAGGCACGAGCAACAAACGTCTTCTAATCCCACAAAAACCCCCTTAGATGTTCAGCGAGTGTGTGTGTGTGTGTGCGTGCGTGCATGCATGCCTGGGTGTGTGTGTGTGTGCGTGTGTGTGCATATGTTAGACAATTCAAATCACACAGGGACTTGTGGGAGAAATACTCACTGATATGTTAATACTGAAGTCATATGAATACTTGTTCTGGTCTCAAATGAATACTTTATAGAAACATTTAATTTCCTTTATACAGTCTTCTGTGATTGGTTAAAAACATTACATAAATAAACAGAATCAACATTGGGAAGTGTCATACTTTTGATATAAAGGTATGGCAACAAAGTGAATTGAGAATGTCTCCTTGTAAACATAATTCAAAGGCCAGATGTCCAGAATACTGCTGAACTGGCATGGACAGGAAAAAAAATCCTTAAAATTAAAATAAAAAGGTTAAAGACATTAAAAGACACTTAACAGTAACAGATCAAGACTGCTAATAATTCCACTTGAAAAGCACCAGAGTTTTCTTCTCCATCACTTAGTGCTAACTACTATCTGTTGGCAGGGACTTTGTAAAGGCCCGCTGTTCATTTGAAGTGTGCTTATTAATGAGCTTCTGTTGTCGATCTGAGTGCATGAAGGACGGTGTGAGCGTCGTGGATGGAAAAGTTTTTGGCTCCGAGTTGAACAGCTCTTCACTGACCGAACAGATCAGCATTAGCTCAGCTGCAGAGTCTGACGTAGAAGAATTATGGGATTCAAATTCAAATTCAAAACTGTATTTATCCGTTAGGAACTTCAGTTGTGTTAAAAAGCATCAGTGCACACACAGTTCACATGAATGACAACACAGCACAGCAGAACAAAACAAACCACACACACACTCATGGACACCCAAAGTGAAAGGATGACTACTATGAATCAAACAACTCCTTATTTATTAATTTAGATACATTTTTATGACTTTGTGGGTCTTAAAACAGCACAGATAATCTATGAAGCAAAGGAAAGAGTACAACCAAAACATAACTGAGACCTTTTTGCTTGTGTGGATGAATTGTAGTTCTGCTTAAATGCCTCTAAACACTGATCAAATCATTGTGTCCAAGAGCCTAAAGTTTTGTCTTTAAATGCCAAGTTTTGTCCAATCAGCAGGTTTTTCAAATTGCAAAGATACTAGAAAAGAGGATGGTCAAATTTTTACCATGTGTTATTTATTTGCAGTTTTGTTTATTGTATTGCTTTTATACATTTATTTATTTCATTTCAATTTGATATTTTTTTTATTAATTATTCCCTTTCGTTTGAATCTCTTTCTTTATTCTTCTAAATAAAGCTGAGTTGAGATTGCAATTTCTCATTTTGCTTAAAATGATTAATTGATCCTTCACATACCTGCAAATCAATGATCCTGCACACAACCTTTAATCATGTCACTTTAAATATCATTTGAATGCATACAGGTGCATATAGACATTGCAGATGTGTTATTGATTTAGCATTTTAGGGGTTTATTGAATTGCAATATTTACTGTGGTGGCTCCCTGAGGTTATGGTTTGTTAGCTGTTCACTCAAAACGTGTTTGTGGGATTTTTAAGATCTTGTAACCCCCTCCCAAATAATAATAAAAAGAGGTCACTGAATTAGCGAAGTAAGTTTGGCCCCTTTAGCACCAAGTATAAAGTCATGTCACAGAGGTGTATCATTTTTCCAAACTTGAGTTCAGAACCGCACGTCCAAGATGATAGCGCCCACGTTAGGCAAGTTATCTGACGACCTTTATTGTAAATTCATTAGAGGACATTGTATGAGATGGCTACTTTAAAAGTAGTTACAGTACCCATTCCAGTAAGCCTCTAAGTTAAAAATGCAAGAGCACATACATCTGTTTTGTCATCATTTATAAGCCCTACAAATACGGCAATTTATTATATTTGTTACCAATTTGTCATTGGTAACAAATACCAAAATGTATAAGCCTTTTTGGAAGCATATACTGTACATATTTGAGCATGAAACTTTACAGAAATCCAAGTCGTCAAAGTAGCATTTGTTGATTCAACTACTCGAGAGGAAGATATTTGCAAGGCTACTTACATTTTTTTTTTTTTAAATCAAGGTCGTTAATTAACTCAAGTTTTAGTCTATGTAAAGATGTATTGGTTTTAAGAATGGTTAACTAAAGTCTGCCTTTTTCTGCTACCCTGTAAGTATTCAGTCATCATGAATGAAAACAAAATTGCCATAAAAATAAAAAAAATATTGTTTTCAGTGGTATCAGTAATAGTATAAAACGGTTGTAAGTTGTAATAAACTAAATGAAGGTGCATTTCTAAAATTTAAATGTAAATATGTTACTGATTATATTCAATATTATTATTATTATTATTGCAGGATCTTTTGTATAGTGAATGTATTTGTTCAGTTTAAATTCAGTTTCACGCCTCCACCAGAAGGTAATTACTTTTTGTTGTGAAACGTTGCCATCTTGTGGTAAGTATGTGACATCACAGCCAGGTTTGAGGTGATAATAGACAATAACACAGGGCATGCAGTTCACTGAAGTCCTGACAGTGTGACCTGTGAGTTCACACTGTTATCAGAGTTCTGCAGGCACAGGGCCAACGCCTGAGTCCTCCCAACAGGCTCAGTCACCACATGATAACAAGCTTTTTCTTGTCAAACACGTAAACATCATGCAGTGTTTATCTCGAGCAACTGGATTTCTTTACATAGAGGATGACACATGGTGCACTGTCACATGAGCCTGTCATTATTCTGAGAAAAGCCGATTCACAGAAGCAGCAGCAGGACAGCACAGGTTTATGTGTTTATAAGCTTTATTTATTTACAACGAGACAATTCTGTCTCTCCAACATCTGGAATAGCATTTCAAATATATACAAGTATTTACATGAAATGAAACCTTTTAAAAATAGTACTATGAGGAAGGCGAGGACATTTCTTGGCAGATTTTTACTCCAAAATGAGAAAATAATTTATATGAAGAGACTGTTAGTTAATACCTGTAATGACAACCTTGATAATAAAATGACATGACTTTCTGGTGAAGGGATCATTTCGATCGGAGCCTCTGAGGGGAAGTGGGCAGAAAAAGAAAAGAGCGTCTGATGTGCACTGGAAACTATCTTGTTCTAACCTTTAACTGTCTCATACAAGAAGGCATTGTGTGCACACCAGAAAGTTTCTGCCCTAATGATCTTTGAAATGTGTCTGTGAGCCGGAGATATCTCAAGAGTTTCTTCTCGTCCACACAACAAACTTTTTCAACACCCTCGTCAGCAGGAGAAACTTTTCTGTGAGCGCGTAAAACATTCTTGTGAGCTCCAGAAATGTTCTTGGAAGCACGGGTTAGTTTCTGATGCGCACCAGAAATATATTTATTAGCATATATTACGTATTATTAGTCAACGTATGTCCACTTAGAGGCTTCATAAATGTTCATATTGTTTAAACCTGTGATAAGTTTTTTAAATATATTTTAGGGTCTAGATGAAGTACAACATAATGTTTAAATTGCAGCAGTAGATTGCATCCTTAGACAGCAGGGTAATGGGCTGTTATACGCCGTTAACCCTGCAGATGTTGATCAAAATAAGTCCACTTAAAGTTCTTGTTTTTGCACCAAAAAAGACGGGATCCCTACAGACACAGACATTGTTTTGTTAATGAGAAAGATCATTTTGTTAAATCCAGAAACAGCCATGAATCTCTCCCCTTGAAGCCACTGGACTCCACTGACAAAAACAGCATTATTGTTTGTTAGAAAAATGTTTGAGGACTTTAATCCGCTACTGAGGGGCACCAAAGGAACACAATAAGTCAAACTAACCGATTGAGGCAGTGTTGTAGACCAGTAACTTGTGGATTCTGTTTGGTATTTGACTGTTTTTGTTCACAGAGTTTGCTGGATGTGAAGAGACCGGTGCACAAAGAAAGCTGCTTTTGGCAAACAGTTTGGAGTTCTTTCTGAAGGGATCTTTTTTGTTTCGTTGTCAGACTCTCAGAATATCAATCAGAGCCTGCCACTGACAAAAAAAAAAAAGGTTCAGAGAACTTTGATCAGACGACTTGGCCGTGAACGCCCCTGAGTTGTCTCAGGTGAGCATTACAAAGACATGTCTCTTTTTAACACCGTAAGATGAGTAACTGTTGAGATGATAGTGATTCTACATTTCTGCAGTAGACTTCATAAAAAAATGAAGACATGCAACTGTACTGAGAGGTTAATGTGAAGTTACGATACACTTTCTTAATATAAGAAACACAATCAATATATACAGAAGTGGACGGTAACATGGGCGCACATACAGTCCACTCAAAGGCAACAATTCATGTTGTGAATGAACCGATGTGACATTTTCAACAACTCACACAGAGTGAGCCGTTACTTCATTATGAAAGGTTTCTGAAATTAAAATATATCAATTAAATGACGTGAATGTAAAATCATTTCAGATTTTTGGTTATAAGCTGCAAAATATAAGTAAATGAAAACCAAATTGAAAAAAATTATAATAGCAAAACAGAAAGTTATCGGGCGCTAGTAGCCTAGTGGAAAATGTCACATCCTTTTATAAAAATATACATCTCTCTCCTCAGCATGAATTCAAATGTCTTTCACACTGAGATCAAAGTGCACAGCTCCCTTCTTTCTTGTAAAAGAAAAAGATAAAAAATGATTGATTGGTTGATTTGCAGGTTACAAACATGAAGCAGAAACAACCAAATGTAACGTGTATTTCAACACATCTCGCCTTTACACACACTCATAAGATTGTGATAAATTGAATCAGCCTATAATCAATGGTGTTTTGGGTCTCTGATAAACATCCAAATACACCCAAGATGTTCATTTTCATATCAAATGTGGCCTAATTTCAACCAATCAAATCACAGAACCAATATTGTCTGATAATACGTAGTAACACGGTTTATAAAATCCTTCTTTTCTGAGTTAAGTTGTGTCCCAGAACTACATGATCCCAAATCTGACCACCTAACCTCATGGCCCCCCACACACAAGAGTTATTTGGTAAATCTGCAAAATCAATGTGTCCAATATTGTAGCATTTACTCAGCATGCATTGTTAGCACTAGCACTAAGCAATTTACAGATTTTAAAAACAGTCTCATAGGATTTATAATTCATCCTCAGAGACAGATTGGCTGACCTGATACACTGACCTGAACTGAAACGCCTCTATTCATTTAAGCAGCATTTACACGACTGTGAAGTATTCCCAGCTTCAAGGGCTACACTCAATATTTTAACGAATACATTTTAACAGCAATTGCAAAACAACTTCAACCTAACTAATTCAGAATTTAGAGATGCTATGAAAACTATTTTTTGTTTATTTCAGGGCAGTCGATAAAAGCTTTCTAAAATAGTTAGATCCCGACCTGTATGTGATTTTGAAGGCCTGTATTGTATTTTTTATAAAAGGGACATGCATCTGTTTTTTTGCTTAAATGAAAATGAAACTGTGTCGTGCACAGATATGTACTCAGAATGCTGCTTTCTCAGTTAATATCTTCTAACTGCGTGTCGACCCCTCTTCCTGGATGAGCTTAAATATTTTTCGGCTTTCTATAGAGCAACAAATAAATAAAAGCAGAAACCAATATAACGGTTAAATTCCCATAATCCGTGTCTTAAAATGACATGTGCTTTTACATGTGCACCACATTCAGGTACAGGTTCATAATTTTAATGTATTGCTAAATTCAGCCTTGTTTAAAAGCACGCACCTTCATAAAGCATAAATGGATAGCATTTTAAAATATATATATATGTTTTGTAGAGCAGTTTGAATAAGATAACCACGACGCCGGTTTGATTCCATCCTGGGGATGAAATGATTTACAAACGTCTTTCCTTTTTCCCGATGTCAACTATGTGAAGTATTAATACTAGATTTAAGTAGCTTAAATCACAAGGTAAGTGCAAAAAAAACCTGCAGCCAAGGCTCTGCCCAGGAGCACATGGATGACTTTGGTCTTCCAACCCTCGTTATTCAACAGAACAACCTCTCAAAACTTGCAGTATGAGTTAAAATATCATTGATCCACCAATCCTTATGTGACAAGAGGGTTTTAAGTGTTCGTGTTTTAAGGCTCCGGTGTGTTCGGTACAAACTAGCATCAGCTGCATCACCATCTCTCTTCTCAGAGTAAGTCTGTTGTGTTGCACTTTTCCTTCATGTCTCTTCTGTCCTAGAGGCTCCTGAAGAACTGCAGCGAGAGTTCATAAGTCAGGAACATGGTGGCGCTCATGGGAAAGCCTCGGATGGCGTTGACCGATGCTCCACGGAAGAAAACCTGCAGAAGAGACGACATGTTTTAGGCAAATGAGGAAAACGTGACGATAGGCCTTTTCATAGCGCTACACGGCGCTGAATAAAAGCTCCACTGTGATCACGCCTTAAGAAACACATATTGATTCTGCAACGGCGTAATGTTGGTGTTCCAGTCTGTGGATTCCCAGTGTTTTACGGCGTTGCGCATGAGAACACAGTTCACACAGTGGGGGCTTCACATACGCATAGTCAGACTTGCACACTTGCACACTTGCACACACACACACACACAGAGAGCTGCTCTCCCCTGCTGGCTTTGTGTCCCGTCTGGTCTCTACAAGGTCTGTGCAGTTTCACAACACAGTGCAGACACCACGACAGAGTGTCAGTGTTTTGCTTTGGGGGACACTGTCCTGTAATAACCACCTCATTGATTTGTGGCCTTCAGGTGCACATCAGCCGTCTAGTTCACTTCTCACGAGCACCAATGACCTTCTCTTATCGATCACACGGACCGTTGTGTTTACTGAACCGGTCCCTGTTGGAAGTCTGTACAGTTTGCCTACATTTTGCAACATCGGATGTTACAGACAGTATGAAACCCTGGCACTTGAACGCAGCGTCTGGCAGCAGACGTGGTGTTGATTTCATGGCCAATCATTTTGAAACTCTTCACCTAATGTGACCCCCAGTGACTTTTTTTTAATTCATTAAAATGAAATGTTAGTTGTAGTTTTATTGAAGTCTTTACAGCTGCATCTCTTAAATGTTTCAAAAATCATTTATACATTTTGGATTACAGCTGCATGATTTGTGTATTTCATAATAATATCACCTATATTTTATGTTTTTGAGGACAGTCTGCATCCCTGTTTTTAACGAATAATGCTATTATTTTATTCAGATTCAAATCAACCTGATGATCAGTAACTCTCTGATCCGCCGTAGTCTGCAGTTTGTTTTTTTTAAGCGCATGTGTGAGTGTGATGTCCGGCCAAAGACTCCAGTTCCGAGAAAGCAGCTTGACTCTTGGGTAACACTGTTTTCTAGTGTTTCATGTACAAATGACCAAACCATCTGTTTCATTTACAGTGACTAGTACAGGAAGCCTGGCTGGATGATGTGTATTCAAGACTATAAAAGATGAATTGTATCAAGATTATCAACTGAATTTAACATGTGTTTTAGACTTTATAAGATGTTCTTATAAGTTTGAAGGTGGATTGGATCAGGGGTTTCCAAACTTTTCAGCCAGCGACCCCCAAAATAACGGTGCTTACAACTGGAGACTCCCATTGTCCCTGGAGGTGGTTAAAACATTGAATGTTGTGCACACTATGAGGCCAATCCAAATAGTGACATTAGAACAGCATATAAGAACACAACAGCCCAAACAGAAACGCTAGAAGCAGAACACACTTAATCTCTTCAACTACGTTTTTGTTTGTATTTTCACAATAATGGATAAGATATGCTATTTTACATTTTTTACATGTTTTTGGAAGGAATCTCACGACCCTCTGAGTGTCTCGCAACCCACTGAAAAAGTAAGCACAAACCAGATAAAGATTTACGTTATTTCTGACCTGTTACAACCTCAGACCCAAGTGCACAGGAAGTGAGGGAGCTGAGGGGCAATGCAGCAGCCCCTATATTTCAAATTTGTTTTTTTTCTCAGGCCCGAGCACCGACGTCGGAGTGAGGACCATATTGGAGTGCAAGGAATTGCTTTCTTCCTTTTTCTATCAGTCACATTTTTGGGGGGGCTTGAACATGCCCCAAAACTCTCCAAATTTGACATGCACATCCGGTCTGGCAAAAAAATGTGATACTTTGGTCGTTTTGCAGACGACTTTTGTGAAATGGCTCAAAGGTGCCTCCCTTTAAATTTTCAAGAGAAGTAATGGTGCCTCATACAAAATTCTAAAAAGTCAGCCCCCGCAGCACATTAAAACAAAAGCATTTTTAGAGTTCACGTTTGTTTCAGACCCATCAGACATTAAACATTTGATTTTGCTTCTTGAACAAGGCCTTAGGCTGCTCGACTGCTTATACATAATTACTGCTGCAATTTTCCTAAAGGACTGTGAAGTAAGCGCTCACCTGTGCTCCCTCTGTTTTGTAGCTGTGCATGATGCAGTGTAAGATTCCCTTGTACTTCCTCTGCAGCTGAGCATCAGCCTGCATCCGACTCTTCACCACATCGGCCGGCGTGGCCGTGACCCAGGAAATAGACCCTGATGAAGACAAAAACAACAATTAGGTCCTTCAAAAACATGAAAAAGATGGCTCCAAAAACTCTCAGTGTTGTGAGTTAAGTCTCCAGCCACGAAACTATGTTGCATTCAACATCATTCAGATTACAAATGAAGCTAAATGTCTAGCACACAAACAGCCAAATCACTTTTGTTACACAGAGAAAGTTTTGACTTTGAATGGATGGAGTCAGGTACAATCACACGAGTTCAGATAAACCCGCTCCAAACTCCACATCTTAGACAGTCTTACCTCACAGAGACCAAAACTAGTGATGCATTCAGGTGCTTCTCATAAAACCTCTTAGGTTATATATTCATTCAGACAGCTGACCAAGAGGAAAAATAATCGACCTAAAGTGGAAATAACTCAAGGAAAAACTGCCACTAGTTTCATTTAGAGTTCAGCTGAAATGTTTTATAATCAACATCAGAATAAAGTAATCAAAAAGTACATTCCATCTGGAGAGACCATATAACACCCATATTGTTAAAACCTGGAAGAATCAAAGGACAAGTTGACTGTTTCTCATTCAGGATTTTTCCCTGCTGTGGTCCAGATTCATGCCTGACGGCGGACCAAACAACCGAACCACACAGTTTTATGTCAAACAGCTGATTTGAGCTTCACACGAGCTGACATTCTCATGTTTGTAGCGGACCAGCTTGCATCTAGAAGTTTGCTCTGACAACATCTTCCAAATGACAAATGTATTCATCAGTAATCCTGCAATAAAAACACCAACATTTATTGATTATCTGACAAAAAAAGTCAAACCAATCATATCATCAACTTTGAAGTTTGTCTCGAATCACAACAGCTGCAGATATCCACACACAGTTTGTATTTGACACAGTTGGACCTCCAAAATCTGCAGAGCTGCTGGTTCTCATTCAGGATTTTTCCCTGCTGTGGTCCACATTCCTTCCTGTAGCGGGCCAAACATCCAAACCTGACAGCTTTATGGCAAACAGCTGATTTCAGCTTCACACGTGCTGACACAGTCACATGTTTGTAGCGGGCCAGTTTGCATCTAGAAGCGAGTCTGCTCGGACCTCAGAGACCACACAATTCCCAAATTAGAGTTAAACACTACATTCTGTGTTACCCCTACACACACTGCGCACACTGCTCATGCTCACTCAGGCCGAACTGTGTAATCTGCTGCAAGTTTATACACCCCATCCTGCTCAAAAAAAGTCCCAAATAAGGTTTTTTTTCTTATGAAAACTTTCGTCGAATACAATGCCAGATTTTTTCTGATCTGGAGCTGTAATGTTTTCAATGTAAGACGAACAGATTTGCATCACGATTTCCTACACTTAACTGGCACACCTACACATCTCTTAAGGGTCAAATGAGATTACATATGACTCAAATCAGCATTATAAAGGGTTTGACAAGGCAGTAAAAAAACTGATATGCTTCATAAAAAACAGCAATAAAATGTCTGACACAGAACCCCCTCAGACTGTTGACAGACCTGATACAGTTAGATCTGAGATGTCATTTAAACAGATAAACGGTCTGTAGCTGCACAGAAAACGTCTCAAAAATGCAGATTGGGACGGTTCAGGTGCCAGGTGTTTTAAGTCACACTATCAGACAAATCAGTTTGATGCTTTCGACGTTCCTTCTCTCCGATCGAGTTAAAAGAATTTTGAGCCCTCACCAATCTGCCAAACACGAGTCCAAATTGAATACTTCCCTTTTCTAAGAGCAATACAGCTGCACACAGACACAGTGAGCACATCAGGCACACTTACAAATTTAGAATCAATTCAAGTACATGCTTTAAAATTGCAGCTCTAAAATGCATTAGAACAAAAGAGAAATGACAACATCTGTAGCCTAGCGTAGCTTCATTGTTAATCACAGCAGAGTTCAATCAGATAAAAAAAGCCTTGGGGAACCCCAGAATCAATCTTAGGATTGGATTAGGAAATCTCTCCTTCCTTAACCACATATACTATACAGTATGAGAAGAAGAATATTTATAAGAGAAGAGTAAAAGAAGAAGTTGTAGTTATATATTTATCCTGATTTGGTAATACCATTAAATTAGTCGAAAGGCCTCCTTTTGAGCCGATAATTAAGACTTCACTAATATTTTTGCCTGATGCTCATTTAAAACACTTTTTTTTTTTAAGATGGACTACCTCTTTCCTTACTCTCCATTTGTAAGGGTGACCATATGTCATGACCATAATACACCAAGCTAACAACACTGTTTTATCTGTCTATACATATGATCAATGTGGTTTCCAAGGCTGTTGCTGTTAAAAAACACCACTAATGCAATACTAGTCAAAGTTCAATACTGATTTGTCTGTACATGTGTCAAACAATCTCGTTGTTGCGGCTGTTGCTTAACTAGGCCTAGCTTATCATGCTAACAGGACCTGTGGCTAACTACTGGTAGGCTAGCCATGACGCAGGCAATGCAGACATACAGAGCCATATTTACAAACGGTGGGTACAGGCTCGTGGTAGAACTAACAACCACATTAAACGCGCTGTTCAGGAGAATGTGTTCCAATTTGGAGGTTAGAAAATATGGCCGCCCTACACTGCACATAGATGCAAAGAGGTATTTTTAATTGTGGTTTCAAAAATGAAATCTGTATTGTAATATCATTCAGTGGAGCGTACAGTAGTTGGTAATCAGGTGTAACCCACAGAAAGAGGATCATCTGAACCTGAGCCCCAAAATGAATCTGACCACGTTCTTTGCCCTGATTTGGTCAACTTCCAGCCAACTCATGAGGTTCTATAGTCTCCAAGTGTTTGACTCCACACTGTCTTCTTTAACTAGGTCAACTTCCAGCCAACTCATGAGGTTCTATAGTCTCCATGTGTTTGACTCCACACTGTCTTCTTTAACTAGTCTCAAATAAATGTGTCCAACATGAGTGACTGCAAAACTTTAGATAAACTAGCAGCACAGAAATCCCACAGTGAAACCTGCAGAACTTAATAAAAAGAGATACTGCAGTTATGTTTGTCTCTTCCAACAATGGAAGTGGCTGCAAAATAAATTCTGCGGGAAAATGCTCTCCCTCCTGTCAGGAAGGGGGAGTGAAATTTGGGAGACATGTGTTGGAATTCAAACACAGCTGTCCACTGGCTCTAAAAAACAAAAATCGTCTAACAACTGAAAAAAGGGAGTGCAGGGGTTGCATTCGTTCTCACTTACTCAATGCTGATTGATTAGCTCTGTTTCACAATCCAGCTTAACTTTATCTAATGCTCTCCTCTGGACATCTAGCTGTAATCACTTTTGGTGAAACGAACACGCCGCAGGGAGCTAAAATCCTTTGTCATTTGCAGCTTCAACATCTGTTTAAGAAAAGCTTTGCACAACTGTGCTGTGAAACTTGGTTACCGGGTCACTTTGAAACTAGACAAAAACTGAATCAAACGGGGACTGTGACCATCAATTACAATGTTGGGTTGAGATAAAAAATGTATGAACTGAAATAATCAGCAGAAATAGACAATTGTAGTGTGCAAAACTGCAAAAAGGAAGAGTCGCTGAGGCAAAAAAAAAAAAGGAGAGTAATACATTTTGGTGTTCTAATGGGCCATTTCTTTAACACATTCTGGGGTTTAAAGAACTAAAAGGTAGAACACCAAACAAAAAAATATCCCAACATCCTGAATGTTACACTCATGTTAAAATGTTTGACATTGAGTGTTATATTTACCTGCTAGTCCTCCAGCCAGCCAGATGGAACAGGGATGCGGGCTGGACGTGGCGTCCGGCCTGAGCAGGTCACAGAAGACGGTGTAAGGGATGAAGTAGAGCATGTATCCAGGAACGTCCCTGAGGATCATGGCCCCTGCCCCCCTGTACAGACCCTGCAGGCCCTCCGTTTGCAGGATGCTGCTGATGCAGTGGATGGGGCCTCGGTAGAGTCTCTGACTGGGGATGTCGACTGAGCGCATGGGGATGTTGGTGCCGTTTGATACGTTACCGGCAAGGTGCAAGTTTTCTGTGAGGAAGTGATTGGATGTGAGTGGTAGCTCATTCAGTGTTGAGTTGTGCTTTTGATTACGAAAAACTTACAATTAAGGACTACTTTTCCCAGCTCAGAGATGTGAATTCCAATATTTCCAAACCTCTAGCATATATAGTGTATTGGGGTTAGGTTTAGTTTTTAGAGTATACTGAAATTAAAGGTGAAACTCTGGCCTCTCTTTTAACACGTTAGGTCTCTTTTATAATAAAGCAAAAATGGTGTAAAGTTTCGTTGAGGAAGCATTTGAAATAAACGTGAGTCACCACCTGAACGCAGGTGTGAAGGGTGTGAGCTCAGAAGACACTGTTGACATAGAAGAAAAGGTAATAAATGTTTCACGTGCCATTTCATCCGGTGATTAACCTGCTCTGACCTCAGTTTTATTGGTTTATTGGTCGTATGGAAAGATACAGGCCAGAAAAACACAGCTTCCTTTAAAATATAATCCTCAAGTGTCAGACACGCTTCCCTGTGGGGAATGAGTAGTGCTTGTAGATTCCTGTTTGAATACAGTCAAACTGGTGTACATTACATTTTACCCAAATGTCACCAAGCAAGGGAACTGTAACAGGGTGAATGTTGACTGTGGCAGTTCAACATGGAAGTAGGTGACATTAAACTATTTTGTTAGCCATGTCAACCATTTTTATCTTCCAATTTCAACTTCTAATTCAATAACTATCAGTGGTCCAAGTTCCTATGCTATTGCCTTGACAGGAGAACTGCCTAATCCCCTACGATTGGAAGCTTGACCATTCAAGAAATAAAAAAAATAAAAAGCTTAATTAGTAATTAGGGAAAATAAAGGCGTAAAATATAGAAATTATATTTAAAAAAATTAATAAATAAAGTTATACACAAAAATGTATATGTTTTGCATACACAGCATATGTATAAAACATACACTAAAAAAGCAATTTTTTTCTCATATTTTGTTGTTGGCCCTAGTCATTTATTATCTTCCTCTGTTAATGGCACTCCCATTGCTCCATAATTACAACATCAAGTAGGCTACTTCTTTAATGCTTAAACTCTTTTTCACTGCTTCCTTTTAACCTTCCCCTTATGTTTCATCTCAAAATGTTCAGGGCTTCAGTATACAAGACACAATAAAGAGTTTGTTTTTTTTTTACCTGAAAATATTAAAATAATTTTCTTTTTTCGAAGCGGAAACAAAGGCACTGGTTTAGTCCAGCGGTAAGAGCGTGTGGCCCATGTACGGAGGCTACAGTCCTCATGGTGGTCCTGGGTCCAATCCAGCCCTCAACATTTTGCCACGTGTCACCCCCCCACTCTCTTCTCCCAACATTTCCTGTCTCTCTTCACTTTCCTATCAAATAAAGGAAGATTGGCCCCAACAAATAAAAAAGTGGAGTATGCTGCACGGGTGGTTGTTTTCATTTCTTCTTTGAAACTGTTGCTCAGTGGGTAACAATGGTGCAACGACGAATGATACTGCTGACTTTTAACTGCTACATTTTTACAAAGCAGAAGATGAGTGTTTGATACTTTAGTGATAGTATTTTACGTGGAGTTAAAAAAAAATTTAGTTAGAATGAGCAACCTTCAGTGTAAGAGATGTCAGGGACAATGTATTCATTCTTATCTAATGTCTTCACTAAAGGGGTGGGAGTATCACAGTGATACTTGGCTTCATGGCGACCATGAATCACTATTAGATGACAGAAAATGACAGGAAATGTCATTGGCAAACCGATGATGACAGGAAATGACCCAACATGTATGTTTACCAGCCCCTAAAGAAAAGGGTACCAACATTATCTTGAGACTCTCTCTTTAATTGTTATTGTCCTTAAATGATTTTTATTTGATTGTTGTTCTTGTTGTCATTTTGTGAAGCACTTTGGGACCTTGCTATGTGAAAGGTACTGTACCAAATAAACTTTGCTTATGTATTCATGTACGTAAGCAGAGAATTTGTGTATTTTATGTTTTCTTCTTTAAACTGTAAAATAACAAAACTGGGGGAAATAAGCATATAGGAAAAGGTTTAAAGACAAACAGAACACATTGCATCGTTGTTCTTTTTTGCACTTCCTAAAGAAAAAAATATCCCATAGAAAGACAAGGTAACCCTACCTGCCATAACATTCTGCGTCTGCATCTGTAGTCTGATCTTGACCAGATCGACGGGGGCTCCAAGTCCCACCGACATCAGTCCAGTCAGCATGCTGGCCACCGTCAGGTCCAGCATACCGCAGGGATGCAGCTCATTGCCATAGCGATACTTGCTTATAAGTCTCTGTGTGTTACTGAAGAAGCCAAACACCACTGAGTTGTAGACGGTGATGCTGGCCAATGGGAAAGACATGCCCTTAAAGAACCCCGTGACCTGAAAACACAAAGTCAGGAAGTGATTAATGACTCACAATAAACAACAACAACAACATTTCTGAAGGCAAAATCCTGCAGAACTTAAAACAAAGAGATACTGCAGTCATTTTGGTCTGTTCCAACAACGCACTGGTAGAAGAAAGGAGGGGAAGTGGCTGCAAAATATTTGAAAATGCTCTCCCTCCTGGCAGGATGGTTGAGTGGAATTTGGTAGACACATGTTGAAATTCAAAAACAGCTGTCCACTGGCTAAAAAAGGAATCGTCTGACTTCTCAGAAAAAGGAGTGCAGGGCTGAAAGTGACACATGTTTGGAGCATTTCAGACCTGGGTTCAGATTTGGTTTCAATTTTCAGCAAAAGTTCAACACTAGATTAAAGTGGTATAATACTTTTCTCTCAATCTTTGATTCCTGTATCTCAAAACTGTCAAATGAAAGGGTACATTTGGCTTTTTAGTCCAACCAACCTGAAGCTTAAATTTATTATCTGCAGACTGCTGAGTACTTTGTTGATCATCTTTATAATGAGAGCAGTGTCCAAATAGAAAAGATCAATTTAGATACAAGCATGAAAATCGGATAAATGGGCTGCCATGTCAGCAGTCTGTGAATTTTGCCGTCTCAGATCTGAAGGGTTTTAAAAACTGTTCATACCAGTCTAACTCTAGTACAACTTATTGATGTGATGCGAACATCTTATATGAGTCACGCTGTTTTTAACATTAGTGGATGCAGACTATGATGCAAGCGTTGAGGGTTGTAGAAGTTTGCATGTTTACCGTTTCCTTCCTGTAGATGGTGAGGACACAGTGGAGTGAGTTCTTGTAACCTTTTCCCGCCTGCAGCCGCGTCTGGAGACGAGAAACCAACAAAATGTAAACCATCATATAATGAATAAAAAGAAAAAGAAAGCTGATGTTGTTTGCCCCTTTTTTTTGAGAAGTTTGGGAAAAGTGTGGAAAAGTTATAAGAGAGAGAGAGAGAGAGAGAGATCTGAAATACCTTCACTGTGTCCAGCGGATGGCCCACGACCACACTGGAGGCTCCTGCAGACAAAAGAGAAACAAAATGAGGGCACAGATTACCAGCGGGAGAAAAACAAGGAGATAAATCAATCTGAGAACAGTTTTTTTTTTTTTTTTGTAAAAAGGAGCTCAGCTAGAACTGAGTTGAAAGAGGACAGGGAATTTGTCAGAAAAAGGAACATATTGAAGACACTTTTTATGCCTTTGATAGATTTTTAAACGCATTGAAACCGACAATAAACCAAAAACTGAAGTGAGGGATGAACCACATTAAAAGTTCTACCACGCAAAGTTTGAATCATTGTTTTATGGGTGTGGTGCACTAAATGCCATCATAAACTCGAGAGCAATTGAAACAATGGTACTAAATCATTGTAGTGTGCTGAAAAAAAACAGTGTTGGCTTCTTCTCTAATCATTTCAAACTGGTGCTTTAAAGGGTGAATTCAGTTTTGTTTTGTTTTTTTGCATCCTGGGCTTTTTCTTTGCTTTTTGTTCATACTTGGGGGTCTATGTCACTTAAACATTACGTTTTTGAGTTTCTGCATTACTACTGTGACATAGTCTTTCATGTTAATCAGGTGTTCCTGATCAAGAACATCCAAGTTTTTGTTTTTGTACCTGACAGCTGCCGATTGTTATTCTAAGTTCCCGGATCATTACGGAAAGGATATAAAACTTTGAATTGAAGATATGATAACAAAAAATAGTCACATAATAACCACATTGAAGGCAAAGTAAAGGCTGCATTACATTCCACAAAGTTTTCACTCTGCAACAAACTCATAATCAGTGGCAAAAGAAAAGCACTTTGGGTGGATGTACTTTGATTTGGATACCTTGCAGGCATTACAGTTTGCTCTGCTGCTGCTGATTGGAGCATGCTATGGGAAACATTTCAAGGCTTCTTGTAGTTTTTTTTAGACACCATTCATTTAAATATAACAAATAAGACCAAGACTAAAAAAACAATCAACACTTGTTCTAGTCATTTCCAGGACATGTACTATATAGCAAACAAACTGTCCTAACATGGTGTCTGTGTAGGTTCTCAGTCACCCAGGTCAAGGTAAACTCAAATCCTGATCTAAAGGCAACTGGACGGATTAAAGACGTTTCACCTCTCCTCCAAAAGACTTCTTCACTTCTAAACTATGTGGTGGACGCAGCTAGAAAATTAAGCCCATAATGATCAAGGATGACTCATATCAGAGTCGTTAGCTGAGTCTTTAACCTCGTTTAGCCTCGAGCCATTACCACCCCCAGGGGCTGTGCAGGTTTTTGGAGTCACATGTTCCAAGGTGGGACTGGGACTTCAGTTGTTATGGGACAGAGTTCAAAACAGCATTGTAGGTTGGGGCTCTGCAGCAAAAAAAGAAAAGGAGCTTTTGTGCCCCTATTAACGCCCCTGTACCCACTGCTCTCTTTGTATTGTTTGTGGGCCACTTCATGCCAAAATACCAGACACACACTATACATGGTAACACATGACAGCACAAGGTCTATAGCATTCTGTCCAAAAACACAATTAATGACCATCCGCACCCGGGTTCTCTGTCAATTAGACTTTGGTGATTTGATAGACCGTGTATAAGAATTAAGACATCTATTAAAGTAGTAGAAGTAATTCATTATAAAACAAAATCGTCAATCAAAATTCAAAACATAGTTATGATTAGGCATGAATTCTGCACTTGGAGGCTTGTTCTGAGCTTGTTTTGGATATCTTTTTTTTTTTTTTTTTACAGATTGTTGAAATATTTCTATGTTATAAATTTGCAACTTCCACTACAAATCATCATCATTGTATACCTAACTTGGAAAAGTTTTTTTTTTACTTTATAGATTTGTCTGGGTTTAAAGTGACAAAGGTGACTTTGAAGAGGAAATTTAAGACATATCTTTCTTTAACAGGATTTTTTATTTGGATTGAAATAAGAGTTTAAAGCAGATTTAAATAATTTCAGCCAAGATATATTTATTTTATGTCTTGCAAAACGGGGTCAACATTTGTTTTTTTTGTTCATTTCCACTATTGTTGTTCATGTTTAAATGAAAAGTGCCATTTGAATAAACAGAGTTGAGATTTGTCCTTTTCTTTTTAGTCTTTTAAATCGTTCTTTTTTCAAACATCGAACAGGTACATGCAACTTTTGTAACCTGTCCTTTTTAAATCACAGCTCTTATTATTTGTCTTTGTGTACATACTTTTAAAATAAACAAAACAACACATGATGGGAAGACTGAGGGGAACCAAACAAAAAGAAAAAGGTTGCAACAGTAGCGCCTCTAGCGGCCGGTGCATGTCACAGCAGCATTCCATATTTTTGTGTAGATTAAAAACTTCTACTTGTGCAGCCTCCGCCTCTGTACGAGCATGCACAGGGGCGATAATGGAGAAGCACGGCTTTATCTCTTTTCAGTGGAAAAACACAAGCGGAGAGGGTGTTGAGCTTTCAGTGTGGGAAAGAAAAGAGGGAGGGGGGGTACATTTCTCTGCAGACCCTCCATTGTTTACATTAGCTGTGGATGCATGAGGAGGCTGCAGCATTTGTTGTCCCTGTAAAGCGGTGCCATTGCATAAAAAAAACAGATTTTCCAGTTTCTTGTTGGGGGGCATTTGGTTCCCGCTTTCATACAAACGGATTTGCGGAAAATATTGAGATAATTGACACCCCCCCTCCCCCAACAAACCACCATACTGACCCACTGAAAGCTGGGCTGAAAGGAGCTCCTTACTAAACAAAAGGCAAGAGAAACAACACTTTCTATCACTCACCTCCGATCCATCCTGCGAGAAAGTCATCCAAAAAAAAGCTCTTAGAGTTCTGCATCTTTAACCAAGAGCCCCAATCTTCAGCCTGCTTCTTCTCATCAGAGGCAAAAAAACACAAAATAATTCAAAATGTTTCCAGGTGAAGCGAAGAAGAAGAAAACAACGCACGCCCAGGTTTCTTTATTAATTGTGTAGTGGTTAGACTTCTTTGGAGAGAATAAGATCGTCAGGAGTGTGTTGCTTTGATAAGAAAAGCTACTCACAGCAGGTTGCAATAAACAGCCAATCGGATCAACGATTGAATTTGCAGGACAGCTCTCTTGGCCAATCAGGTGCGAGCTCCACAAAAGCCACACAGCCAATAGATAGAGGCTCATGGAAATGAGCCATGAGGAGGAAAGCAGAGCAGAAAAACACAAGAGACTGTAAACGTGCAGGTCTCACAGACCGACCTTTAATTTGATGATAAACACAATAAAGATAATGAATGATATTAGCAAACAGTTTGCAGGCCAAGGCCATGACAACTGAAACAAAAACAGATTTTTGTTAAAGCAACGTTTCTTCAAACAATGTTTTTCTAATTTTGCACAAAGTTATGCAAACATTTCAAGCTCAATCCTACAGATCTAAACACTTTGTCATCCCCAGGTCATCAAATACAAAGTGCGAAACAAAAATGTATGTAGGCTACATTTATTTCAAAACGCCTCGTCTTGTCAGGATACAAATGCAACAGAACACTTAGTGGAATCTGTGTCGCTCAAGGGCAACTGTGTCATGCCAACAATACTGACACTGAACTATACAAGGTCATGATAAGTATAATGCAAGTTTTGCGTGTCAAACAAAAAAAATGTCTGAACCCAAAAAAACAACATGTGTCTTAGGGCAAAGGGGTTTCATTAAAAATGTTTGTACAAATAGGATTTGTTATTTATTTTTATTCAAACTTTTGAAAAAGAAAGTGTGATCCGGTAGATTTCGCCCTTGAGCTCCAGCATTAAACCAAAACAAACTATAGACACATATAGACAAATATATAGACATGTAAATAATTTATAATTTAGTAGGTCCCAAACTGTAACACAAGAAATATGTCTTAAAAAATACATAATACAAAAGTATTAAAGTATTTACATTTCCCTTTAAGGACTTATCGTCCATGTTGGCTCAAAGTTGTTTTAGCTTTAAAGGTCAGTTTGGATATTAAACACCTCACATAAAGGTGTGATTATGAGTATGAACCCCCCCTCCATAAATGAATAAATAAACACATAAATAATTCAAATAATCAGTCAATGCTAAGTGAATAAAACTGATGAGGATAGAAGAATAGAAAGGAGTTTGAAAGTCAGATCTGGATAGTTTAAACCTCCTCTGGCCTCTTAAACCTTTTCTAACAATCTCCAACCCTACAGTAGGACTGCTTTAAACCATAACCTTAGCCGTCGTTTTAAATTTAAAGCGGCTTTATTATTTCTCCCTGTGCTGTTGTTTTGTTTGCAACTTTGGACGCCACTCAACTATTAAGAAGAAAACTGCATGCACGTCTGAGGTCAATGCTCTGGTCAAGGGCAGTCAGCTGGAGGAGTGCTGATAGCTCACATAATATTTAACATAAAGCTAATACTTAAACCAGAATAGCTGCAGGAAACACACAAACATCTTGTTTGAGTAACATCTATGTGGCAAGCAGCTGAAGGACAAAACAGCGATAATGTGTGACAACAAAAAATGACACAAGCTTTATCACAAGAGCATTTTTCCAAACATAAATAATTAAAGAATAAACTTCAGGATATAATGAATGTATCTTCAAGGTAATAGTAGACACACACTTTTATTTTGAAAGATTAAAAAGTTGAGTATGTTTTTAGAGCTGCAACTTCACCACCAGTTTTGCTGATTTGTGACAAAACCAGCATTTTACACACCTCTACACCTAATATTGAGTGATTTCTTTTTTTTATATTACCATTAAAAAAAACAACATTGGCAATCCAATTTAGACTGTGACCTCCAGATCTCCAGGTTGGATTACTGTAATTCTCTTTTATCAGGGTGCTCTGATAAGTCTCTAAAGAATCTTCAACTAGTCCAGAACGCTGCAGCTCGTGTTCTGACTGGATCTAGGAAAAGGGACCACATTACCCCTGTATGGGCTTCTCTGCACTGGCTCCCTATAAAATCTAGACTAGAATTTAAAATCCTTCTTCTCACTTACAAAGCTTTAAATGGTCAGGCAAAGAGCTAATAGTGCCGTACTACCCTTCGAGAATGCAGGCCTGCTCGTGGTACCTAAATGTACTATGGGAGGTATAGAGCCTTCAGTTATCGGGCTCCTCTCCTCTGGAATCATCTTCCAGCCGAGGTCCGGGAGGCAGACACACTCTGTACTTTTAAGTATAGACTTAAAACTTTCCTTTTTGATAAAGCTTATAGTTAGGGCTGACGCAGGTATGAACCAGCTCCTAATAATACTGCTATAGGCTTAGACTACTGGGGGAACTGGCATCTCTCTCTCTCTCTCTCTCTCTCTCTGTGCATTCACATCATATTACTGTATGTCACTATCTGTGAATCTTCGTTACAAACCACATGTTTTCCTGGGAGCTCCTGAGCTCGACGGCCTGCTATTTCAGTCAACGTGAACGTACAACACTTCACAATTAGCTTCATAGTTCAATTATACTTCATAGAATCAATGATTGTCCCACCAAGATATTTAGAACATTGCACATACTGTGCTCAATGTTCTGACCTTTGATTACAGTGGCATCAGTTACGTGTTTTCTTTCTAAAATCAATGATCATATCTTGGGTTTTAGATATGTTCAGCTGGAGGTAAGACTCCACACACCACTGATCAATAACCGAGACTTGGCTAGTGTCACTCTCTTGAAGCACACAGCGATTATTGATAGTTAAAATACAAGTCGAAATGTTTCTCAAACCCGGATTCTGTCTGTGATAGTTTTTAGTTGTTATCGTGCTGATTTAGATCCAAGTGTTCATTTTTCTAAGTCATTTAGTGTTAAGTAGTTATTTAATGCAAAAAAGAGTGCATGTAGCATCATGAGTGACAGCTCTGTTGACTAATGTGGCTCCTTGCAGTGTTCTCAACTCGATTATCGAGACGGAGATATGTTGTCTATTTTTATACATGTTCACTAGCTGTACTGTAGCTGCTGCAGGCCTGATCTCTTTTGCACTGTAAACATTTAATGACAATATTTGAAAAAGATTCTCTCTGAAACACAAATGGCAAAAATTATTTCTGTTAAAAATGGAAAACCAGAGAAAATAACCTCCGAAAGGACACAAATCTGAACTCTTAAATGTCACTCTGCACACAAATATATTAAATGAATTCAGAAACCTGTGATGACCATCAATAGAAATGTTCTTAACGCGTCTCTGCCAGACACATTCAACTTTATTTTCACTTTAGAGCCAAAAGTGTCACTGTATGTTAAATTATTTGAATCAAATTATGAGAGTTGGTAAAAAATGTCTTGTTTGAGTGAATGGTACAGCCCTAAAAATCCTGCATTCATTGTTTTGAATATGTCAGTAGGGGTAAACATCATAAGCTCTTGGGCTTACACAATGACATAACAAGTGTAGAATAAGAGGATTTTCATGCCTTACAGCTACTTAAGGGGAAACAGAAAGGGAAACTGGATGTAAACACACATTTAGTCTCTCTTTATGAAAGGTGGTAATGTTGGACATTTGTTGAGAGGGCTCCTCCCCCTCCTCCCCCTGCTCCTCCTCCTCCTCCTCCCCCCTGTGCAGGCAAGCCCAGCTCCACCCTGGGATAAGACTCTGATAACAGAAACGCAACTTTTTAAACACTTTGTGGAAAATTACCAGAGAAACGCAGGAGGGGAGAGTTTGACCTTCAGTAGACTGCAGCACGAGAGAGGAAAAAAAATCTAGAACTAGTTCCCCTCGTGTCTCTATATAACTTATCATGATTAGAATAATGATTAACAAAGTAGTACAAGTCGGTTTTCAGATGACATTTTAAAGAGGTTTACATTTTTGCTCAGTTTCTTCTGAAGAAATAAAAACCACACAGGTCTGTAGAAGGAATGCTTTCTTTCTTTCCTTACTAAAAAGTTATTAGCTGTATTTATGTTTATGTTTTGCTGTGTTTTAATCACACCTTCTTGCCCGGAGTGAGAGGAGAAAAGGTAGACCATATATCAGTCAGGAGAGGCTTAATTAAGAACGAACAATTATTTATTCGACAATTTAGGAAATAAATGTGGAAAGTCTTTGGTGCATGACAACTTCATCGGAGGGGTAATGAGGCCGACAGCAGGATAGGACACCCCCCCCCCCCCCCCCCCATGGAGTTTAGACCCTGGTGGAGGTGGTGATAGAAGAATGCAGGAAGTGATGAGGAGTGGGGTCTGTATCTGATCTCTGCTGAGCTGGATGGAGGTGACTGAGGCGGAGGAGTGAAAGGACAAACTCACCGTGGAAGAGAGACAACAGGTTTTAAAAAAATTGACGGCGGCAGGGTGATTGATTGAGAGAAGTTGTGACAGAGTCTGGTTGGATTATTACTTAATGAGTTAATGCACAAAATCAGCTGATCACCAGAGCAAGGAGAAGGTGGAAGTGGAAGAGAGGAAGTGGCTAAGTTGAATGAAGAAATTGAATAAATGTGTGAGAGAATATAACCAGTCTTCCTGCTTGAACTTACGCTGAGCTCCGTGTGTGATGTGTTCTGTCCAAATGATATCAAACCAGCTCTTCTTTGGGGATGTAATACCGCTCCCACGCAAAGAGAAAAACATGTTGTGATAAAAAAGCTTAATTTATCGCAAAGTTACTTATCAGTTTGACTCATTCTCCACCGTGTTTATTACCCTTTGTGTCATTTCGAGTAGCACACTCAGTAACCTTTCTTTGTATCTGTAATTGACACAAACTCTCTGGACTGTTTAGCAGGTTCCTCTCTGTTCTCTGTTGTTTCTAAACCTCACTTCATCCACGTTTTTTTTTTTTTTTGTGCTTTAACGTTTTTCATTAGACGTAGAAGTGAGGAGGAGGAAAGACAACCTTTGTGTGATGCTGAACATGTTTTCAGTTGTTCTCTCAGCACGCATACACACAACAGAAAACTCAATGTTAAGAATCTAGCGATGTGAATTCAACTGATTTATATCTTTACATTGTCATCCCTGAGAGGTTACTGAGAACCAAAAAATGATCATTTTCT